AAGAAAAGAAAAGAAAAGAAAAGAAAAGAAAAGAAAAGAAAAGAAAAGAAAAGAAAAGAAAAGAAAAGAAAAGAAAAGAAAAGAAAAGAAAAGAAAAGAAAAGAAAAGAAAAGAAAAGAAAAGAAAAGAAAAGAAAAGAAAAAGGCAGTGAACATCTCGAAGCCACGCGGGATTCGGCCGGGACTCGCACAGGGCTGCCGTACTCCCCAGCCCGAGTTCTCCCACCCCTTCGGGGCCGAAGCAGACGCAGATCTGGGAGCACCCTCTCGCCACACAGAGGCGGGAGGAGACTTTTTGCTGCCATTTCGGGTTGAATAAACCCTCACATAGGCACGAACCGGCCCCGTTGCGCTGGGACTCCTACGGGAAGAAAAGAGGGGGTCTCTTTGGTTCCCGTTTTATTTGGTTTCGCTCCATTTCGCGCCCCGCTCTCCGACCGCTCCCCGCCCAGGGAAAGTGCAGAGCTTCAGGAGGGGGAAGTCCCGCCCCCGCCCCCCGCTCCCAGCAGCAAATCCTGCTGCCCCCGCGGCTGTAATCTCCCCTTCCAAAGTGGGGCTTGGCGATTATAGGAGACCCAAATAAACGTAGCGGTGCATGAATAATGCTCATTGTCGAAAACTGACACTTGCTCAAGGAAAAGAAAGTTGGCTATAAAATCACTTCATTATTTGCTTGTAGCGCGGCTCCGGGGCTAATCCCCGTGGAGGTCAGGCCGCTCAGAGCTGCTCTCCTTCCCTCCCCTCTCTGCTTTCAGGTCGCATTTTGGACATCCCCTGCAAAGTGTGCGGGGACCGCAGCTCCGGCAAGCACTATGGGGTGTACGCCTGCGATGGCTGCTCGGGTTTCTTCAAGCGGAGCATCAGGAGGAACAGGACCTACGTCTGCAAGTCGGGAAATCAGGTACGCGGCTCGCTACCTCCACGTCCCATTGCTCTCCCCGTCAACTAAGACCGAGGCAGAGTGAAAACAGACAAATATATAATGAAATTAATGAAATATAATGAAATAAAACAAAGCCTTAGAGCGTTCCACTCCTTCCCCACTTGCCATCCACCCGCATCCCCAGCGCTGCGCGCAGACCCCCGGTGTCCCTGGGCGCCCCTGGGCTGCCGCCGCCGTCGCTGTCTCGGGTGCTGAAGGCGGCCCGGCCTCGCAAGAAAGGAAAGGAGGGAGGGCGGGGGCCGGGCTGAGCACCCCCGACCCGACGGCTCGCTGCGTTTGTTGCAGGGGGGCTGTCCGGTGGACAAGACGCACAGGAACCAGTGCCGGGCCTGCCGGCTGAAGAAGTGCTTGGAAGTCAACATGAACAAAGACGGTATGCCCACCCCTCACAGACAAGGGGTGTGTAGTTCCCCCGTCCATTCTCAGTTCCTCAGTGTCTCCCTTCCCTTCCCTTCCCTTCCCTTCCCTTCCCTTCCCTTCCCTTC